GTCTGAAAACCCGATAATACAATGGCTGGGTTTCGCCAAATATGCTAAAATCGCTCGTGGGGTCCGGAGATGTTTACTGTAGTTTTGGGGGTAAACAACTGCTAATGTCAGTATCTGTTGATATCAGAATCGGAAATTAAGCGACGTATCGGATATAAACAAGAAGTAAAAATTCGACATCCTTCATTTTTTTCTTAAGTTCCCTTCAATTTTCTGAGCCACCTGTGCTCCCTGGCAGCCATTTTGAAATTTACAGCGCACATCATTCCATGAGTAATTTTACTTTTTTGGCAAATGTGAAATATGCAAATATGAACTAGGTACAATCAAGGACAGCTGACCTCACGATATGTCACGTCAAGCATGTTGTTTTCAAACACGTCCACCTTTGTCTCCTCAGTGAACTGTGATCCATGTGACACCGCTGAGCTTCTATCGCAGCCCACCAGCACCGGCACAGACCTGCAGGCACTCGCTCTGTCCTCTTTACCCCCCCTCCCTGATCCCTCTGCTGGATACAGGGCAGAGAATTCCTCTTACGCAGACACACTCGTCTCAGAGCAGACGTTAGATATGAGTCAGGCATTCATGACGTCACAGATGCCTGACCTCGGCATCTCCATGGCCGGCGGGATGCATGAAGCATCTGGAAGTGAGGTGGCGAACAGTATGAATGAAAGGTAAATGTTTGGTACCTCTATTTACATGAAAAAAAAAAAAGTTTTATGTTGCATATATGTTTTGTGTTCTCCTTCTTAAGACATACAGGCAAAATTAAAGCTGGACTACAAAGAAAGTCATATTTATGTCAAATGTAGCCTAACGCTATCATTAGCCGATATTAGCATAATGATGTCATTTTGGTAAGAATCGAGGATTTTCTTTCTCTGAAAACCCAATAACGCAATACCTGGGATTCGCCCAGATGATGTGACCTAAAAATAGTTTTGAAGTGAAAGAGAAAGTGACATATTGTCATATAACGGTAACAGAATCGAAAACTGTGTTTTGCCAATATCGGCATTACGGGTATCAGCAAAAAGCTAAGTAAAGCATTATGTTTTACTATCATTGTAGCTAACAATGAAAGAAGCTAGCACTGAGTCTACAGTCGGGAGACAAAAAGCCCTGTTAAAAATTAGATTCCGATTCAGGTTGCGCAACTGCCTT